ATTCAGGATGGCCGTAACTGCCCCGCCTCTCATTGTAACCAAAAGAAAGAGGAAATTGGATCGAGGAGAATTTAAGCAGCAAGAGGGCCCCATCAAAGAGGGCCTTCACGTGTGACTGTGGAAACGGCTGCTTTTAACACATGTTCTATGGCTTTTGGAAGGAGAAAAATCCAGATTGCAGAAACAGCGATCAAAGCCAACGGCGCACTTCGACTCCGTCTCTGTCAATTGGCCTAAGCTCTTGCTGATCTGCACGTTGTCGCGCGGAAGCAGAGCGCGCGCCAAGTTTCAGAGCTTCGTGAAAGCTGCGGTGGGTACGTTTCCAATGCGAAACCATCACTAGAAACACCGACAGCACGAGGAACATCTAGCAGCTGAAGGAGCGTTTTTTTTTTTTTTTTTTTTTTTGCTCCCAGACACCGAGAGAGGAAATCCAAATCTGTGTTGCCTTTTAGTAGCAAAGCTGTCTTAGGAACTCTCAGGGGAGAAACAAGAACTCAGACATTGCTAAATGCTTCTCTGCTCTCAGTCCAGCCCTCACGGCGGGGGTGGGTGGGTGAGTAGCGCTCATAAATGGTTTTTTTTTTCTTTTCTTTTGCAAGCAACGTGGTGGCAGAAGGTGCACTAGAGGCAATGGCTAGAGATCAGGTCCCTGGGTTTGAGGACTGGTGTTCCTTTTTATTAGGCTGTGTCATCTTGGGCAAAGTGTCAAAGTCTCTCTGAGCCTGCCTTGGGGGTGGGGGTGCCCAGTGAGCTGTAAATCCTATCAAAAATGGCTGTGAACACGCTTTACAAATCTAAGTCTGGGCGCTCTGAATCTGAGGTCCAGGGATAAGCTTTCACAGGTCTGCAAAGTCCTGGAATCTTATGCTGCATGACTATAAATGCAGAGAAAAAGGATGGACAGAGTGCTCAGGAGGTGGACTTCCTGCAAAAGGAGCAGCGCTGGGGGCATGAAGGGAGCTTCCCCGTGATGACTGCATGTATCTGGATTGATTACTTGGAGGATGGAGTCAATCTTATTTGTAGAAATAAAGTCTCCTTAGTAAAAAGAAATTGCCTGCAAAATTGCTCACGTGTATGAAGACGTGCACTTTTTTGTGGGCAGTCGAGGGCTTCTGTTTTCAGTGGGGCGTGAAGGGGTCTGAGACCTCCCAAGTGAAGGCAGGGCTGCGATTTCACAGATGCCAGTTGTGGGACCTGTGCTGGGGAGCTCCTCTCACCCAGGCTCCTCCCCACCCCGCCCCCCGCTGCCCTGGGCTGCCTCAGGCTTTCAGGGTTGGGGGATCGGGGTCCGGCTGGGTGACAGCTCCTTTCCCGCGAGGCTGCCCGCTCCTCACAGCTCTCTGTGTCCGAGTGCCAGTAACTGCTTCCTGCCCTTGTCCCTTCAGACCTGGACAGTCACCAGTGTCCTGTGACTGCCCCCTGACACTGCACTATCCTCTGTGGTTTCCCTACACCCTTTGAAGCAGTTCCTTTATTCAGCTCTCCTCAAATTACCTGATGTGCATGTGCACTTTCCTGCTGGGACCCTGACTGATGATAGTGTTTCAAATTTGTCTCCGCACCCTCTCTGCCTATCCACTCACACATCCTCACATATATTCACTGACACACTTACGCACACACACACCTACTGACGCAACTGACACACACATTCACTCCCACCCACTCACAGACACACACACACACCCCATTTCACTTGCAAACTCACACTCAGTCCCTACCCAACAACACTGCCTGCTCCCAGCACCTTGGGGAACACAGTGCTCTGGTTAAAACCCTGCGCTGGTGAACTGAGGGTCCACCCGCCACGCAGGAGCCCTGCTGCTGGGGTGCCTGTCACCCCGCGCACCACTGAACTGGCGCCTCTCGCCAGTTCTTACTTTTAGAAATGCTGCGCTTTGTCCGGTACTAAGGTGGACGAAACCACCAACCGCACACTCGCAAGGTACTTGGAAGGAGGCTTCATAAAGACACCAGGTTAAAGTGGCCCCTGGAATCTTGAGCCATGCAGAATAGACCTACGACTAAAAATAAAACCTTTCCACCAAATTTCAGATAGGGACGGATGAAAACCTTCAGGGGATCACACAAATGGATATGCATTTAGATGGACGGCCCCAGGGGCTTTGGGGGGGAATTGAAGGGTGACACATTTTAACTCATGACCTTTCGAATAATTGGAGCTGTCAGTGACGGACAGGCCTTCTTGGGAAGCAGCTCCTTGTCTGGGGCTGCATTGCAGAGACTGATACAGGAGTTGGGAGCAAATGACCTCTAAGGCTACTCCACGATGCCCCCGCGACTTTGGGCTGGTCATTCTCCCCCCTTGGAGGGTTTGCTTCCTCATCTGCTAAATGACCGCCTTTGCCTAGATGTCTTTGAGGGGTCTTCAACTGCCATAAATTCTCAAAGTCTCTGACTCTGCCAGCAAAGCGGGGCGGGGGGCGGCATTTGGAAAGGAACTGCAGAAGTAATTAGCGGTGGAAATGCAAATCTCTAGTGCCTCTGGATGTCTGAGTCTGCAGATTAAAACAAGGCTGAATCTTGGCTGAATGATTCCATTCCCTCCAGAGCAAACAGCAACAGCAGGACGTTGGGGGGAATAATCTAGCCTCTACTGGCGAGGGAGAGGCCGATGAATTCGTTTGGGAGACAAAGGCCAGGCTAGGAATGGTGCCTCCAGCAGCTCCTCCACTTCCAGCTCCCCTGGACCTCAGATTCCTCGTCTTTAAGCAGGGACCAAAGTACCTACCACACGGACTGTTTTTCTGAGGATTAACGAAGGTGAATGTCCCTGGCTTTCCTGGTGGGGGTGGAAAGCAGCCAGGAAAACAGGTTTGCATCCAGGCTCCCAAGCTGGCTGGCTCTACGACCTGGAGAGAATTATTTAACTCGCAGGCCTTCATTTTCCCATCTGTAAAGTGGGGGCACAGAAGCAGTCTGCACCTGGGGTGGCCAGTGTGAGGCTCCAGGAAGGAGCCTTGCAGGTTCTACAGACCAGACGGATTTGACCTCATCCTAGGAACCGCCCTGCGGCACAGCTGAACCTGGCAGAGGCCTTATTCTCTTAAATGAGGATTCAGATAGGTGGCCTGGAGCCTCCCTGTCGTGGGATCCCAGCTCAGCCTTGGGTGTCTGTGTGGTGCCAGCAGCGTGAAGGCATACGAGCGCCACGCCTGGGCTATGCCCCGAGCCCGCTGGGAACTCTTAAACCACAAGGGTAGACTTGGGCAGCTTTTCCTCTTCATATCCTGGCTGGGGGCGGGGGGGTCAGTCCTCGGGGGCCCTGACCTCTCTGATGGTCTCCCTTAGGCCCCTGGGAATCACGCCTGCAGGCTCCTTGGAGACACTCTGGCCTGTCTCCCCAAATACAACCCAAGCTTATTCAGGTCCAGGCCTGTCTCATGCCCTGCTGTGCCTACGCTGGGAAGGGTAGGGGGGCAGAGGGTGGGGCAGTGTGTGTGTGCGTGTGTGCACGAGTGTGTGAGCTGAGCCACTACAAAATGGAGATAAAGAACTCCAAACCGATTCTTCTTTAAATGAAAGACTTTGTTCTAAAATTGTATGAGACCAACAGTTGGGGCCTTCAGACTAGTTTATTCTTCATAAGCTCTCCTGCCAAATGAGTTATTAGGGGAACTGAAGAATCCCCAGTGGCCAGAGGGAAGGTATGAAGATGAAAACTTGCATTTTAGATCACTAGAATTTTATTAATATGCTACTATTTTAAGCCACCATACAAATATCCTTTGTATTGATTTCAGTGTGATGTACTGACTGAATAAATATGCCAATTTTTGCCAGGGAGCCAAACAGTATTTTTAACCTACTTTAAAATATGTGTTGTTTCCTATGGCTTTTTTTTTTAAAAAGTTTAGAGTTGATTATGAAGGCGCTTTCAATTTAAAAAAATTCTTCTTTCCAGAGAATACACATATATTTTAAACACATATTTCAAAGCTTAATGGGGATAAGCTTAATGGATAATTATTTTTTAAATCTACAAATAAAGGTGGAAAAAAGATGAAATTTTTTTGGTTTATGGGTGCTATTATATTGCAAGATACCACTATAACGAAGGAAATTTGAATATATAACTGAAATATGTTCTTATAAGTATTTCCCCCCCAGTTCCTGCCTATTTCTCTACTTTAACTTGTTTCGTGTATACAACACTGTGTACTTAATCAGGGTGCTGCCAGAAACTTCAGGATCTTAAAAAATTAAGGGAAAAAACCCCCAAAAAACAGAGAGCTGAAGCTTTTCACACACTGGCTGATAGGCTCCTGAAGATGGTAACAATACTGCTGCCATTTCATAGATGGGGAATCAGGATGGGAGATAGTCAGGGGCTTTTCAAGGGTTTTCAGCTGGTTTCCAATTGTCTATCCCAAGTTTTTCTCTTTCCCTTTCTTCAAAATGGGGAAGGAGTACCCCATATGTCTCAAGGCCACTGGGAATACAAACTAGAGAACATTTAAAGACTGGCATGAGTTCCTGTTTGGCAAGTCCCTGAAGAACCACTGTAACTGTTCTTCATGACTCGGACGAAACCCCCTACCCCCCGGTTGTGGACAGAAATGCAAAATTTCCACCCTGGAAAACGATACCAGCTATTGCTCTTGCTTTGTGGAGCGAAAAACCTCAGAAAATTCAAAGACGGAGAAGGAATGGGGCTACCTGAGTTACCTAGGCACCATACAGCTTCAGAGCCAGAGCTAAGAATGGACCAAGATTTCAGGAGACCCTGGTCATGTGGTCCAACCGCTGAGTGGGAGAGTGGATGCTCTGCGTGGCCCCTCCCTGGGACGGGGGCCACTGGCTCATAGGATGCCCTATCTGTCTCCTGAGTGACTGGCAACTCCTTCCCAGTTCTGAGCTGCAACCTGAGGGGGGAATGTGGGCCCTTTCTTCCCAAGCACGCGTTGCTGCTGGAGGTGGCTCTTCAGGACAGCCCTGCCTCCTTCTCCCGCTGTCCCAGGGGACGGGGTTACCTGAAGTTGTAGCCCGGGGAGACGCTGCTCTTCTCAGAAACGCTGTCGAGTCGGGTGAATGAATATTTAGGGATGCACTGGTCCCAGGCCTTGTCCAGGTCGCACACCCAGCCGATCTTAATGCCCAGAACTCCGCCCTGGATGGGGAACGGGGGCAGATATGAGCCCTCCCACAGGCCCCTGACTTCCCGACTCCCCATCCTGGCTGGAGTGGAGTGGGGCTGGGGGTGGGGGGTGTGTGGATGTGACAAATAGACAGGTGATCTCTTTCTGTCCTCTAGATGAAGACAGAGGTAGGGAGAAAGAAAAGTGATTTGTCACACTTTGCTTAGTGAAGAAGTACTGTAACTAACAGAGAGAACTTGAGCCTTGAATCCCTGTTTAGGTATCTTCAGTCCCCTTAGCTACAACCCAGGAAAGTGGCCACAGATCCACTTTCCCATCGTGTAGACCTCGTCGGAGATCTGAGGCCTCTGCCTCCAGGTGAAGCGTGAAGACAGGAATGGGAAACTGAGGCTGGAGGTGCAGTGAGGGAGGCAAGACCGCCGAGAGCACGTAGGGTAGAACAGGCACAAAGCCAGTTGCAGGCCAGGGATGCTCCCACCAGGTGGCGCTGCCGCACCACAGCGCCTCTTCCCCAGTAACCCCCACCTCCACTTGCAAAGGACACCCCCTACTCCA